AGAAGATCTCCAGGAAAATTTTTTTATCAACCCTTGCAGTGGGGCTAATACCCCCTCCCCCTCCCTCCCGCACTGCAAGGTTTAAGTGCTTGTTTGTGTCTAGGGACAAAAATAACAAAGATATACTCAACCGAAGCTCAGGGCTGGCCAGCTGTGGCAACACTCCCTCCAGCCTGTCTCCTCACAGCAGTATTGGAATCTTCTTCAGAGTCCTCAGGTCTATAGACTGTGTATAGACATGATGATTTACAGGGCTTTAAATGGCTGCAGAGGAGGGGGAAAGACAGGTCTAAGACACAAACAAAAACTTAACCCTTGCAGTGTGGGGGTAGCCCCACTGCAAGGATTATATTAAAAAATCCTGGAGTTCTTCTTTAACTACCTCCCGGCCAGCCGCTGTGTATACACGGCCTGCCGGACCTCCCATACACTTGTCATTTATTTTCTCTATTATAAAAATGTGTTCTGTGAATAAAATAAGATGAACTACCTCCCTTGCCTCACACATATTTTAGAAAATCCCACGGCTCTGCCCCCTCAGCACCACAGAAGGCTGTGTTGCCATTTTGCCATCTCATCTGTGGCTGGCTCCTTCTTCCTGCTTCTTGGGTTACACACCAAAGCAGACAGGCACATAGAGCCCCCCTCCCCTACACACTGCAGTTCTCTCTTTCCCGCTGGGCATCGGCATCATGATCTGCCCTGTGCCCCCTCTGATCGCCGCTGCTCTATCCTTCGTGTATCGGCAGAGGCAGCAGGGATCACAGGGGTTGCAGAACCGGTCCACCTGTCTGAGGCTAGTGGTTGGAGAGAGTTTCGGGAAGGAGAGAGCTGCAGTCACAGGCGGGAGAGGGGCAGAGCTTCAAGATGCTGAGTGGAGGATCAGCAATAATGTGAAATATTTGCTGATATTTCCCTTCACAACAAACAGTACTGATCCCTCTAGTGTTTATATAAATGAGGTGATAGTAAATATTTACTATGTCCCCAGTTATGAATGAACAGGATGTGCTACACATCACTTCCTGTTTATTCATGACTGGGGACATAGTGAGAGCAATAATTCTAGGGCCATCACATCACTGTTAACACTAAACTGATGAACGGTAAAAGCTTTTAAATTGTTGTGGGCGCACGCAATTTGAAGGCTTGACATGTTTGGTGTCTATTTACCTCACACAACCCTATCTTTTATATTTTACCCAAAAATTGGGTATTATATTCTGTTTCTTTGCACTAAAATTCATTTTAATGTACTGTATCCTAAAAATAATGGTTTGATAAACATTTGCACAAATATTGTGCGACATAAAAAATTGCAACTAACATGTTTTTATTCTGCAGTGCCTCTGCTTTCAGGAAATATATAATTGTTTGGAGGTTTTAAGCTCTTTTCTAGCCATATATTCTGAATTTATCATGTGTGTGCAAAAATTAAGAAATTGCTCCGGACGGTAAGTGGTTAAAGTGTACCGTGTGGCTAAAAAAACATGGCTGCCAGTATAGAAACTTTGTGCACTGTTAGGCCTGGTTCACACCTGCAAATCACGTGCATTTGTGTGCTGTGTTTGCCGTTTGTCCCCATTAATTTAAGTGGGTTAATAGACACGCGATAAACGCAGCAAAAATAGGCAATTTTTGACGTTTGGCATTTTTTTGCTTTCACACGCGCAAAAACGCAGGTCTTGCTGGCCGCATTTGGGACTCCGTTAAGACTTAATGGCACCACAAGCACACACACACACACACACACCGTTGTGTTAATACAGAACGTCCTATAGGGGTCGCTCTATGAGACCGCAGCTTTTTTTCTACTCTATGGTGTAAGTCTCTTTCCACACACGGCTACATATTCGTGCTATTCTATCGAAATGGTCAACGTGTCGAAATATCCAATTACGTCACTTCCGGTGACTTGCCAGCAGGGGCGGTTTTCTGCTTGTCTGCATTTTGAAGACATTTTACTAAAGAAACGGGTTATTAACTTATAATGTTTGTCTACAAAAACATGGCCGCCAGCAAAAGCACTATGTACACTGCTAGGGACAGCCATGCCTAAAGTATAGCTTGTTCTCTAGTGAATGTGAAGCAGCTTCCTTTCGAGCATGGTGGATGAAACATTGAGGAGTAAAAACCAGGTGAGCTGGTCTTATAAAGGCTTGTTTCCGTAGAGCAAGTTGTGTTATTGTACTTAACGTCGTTTTTGTTGGCACACTTTTGTTTACATGTATCGTGTTGTACATAAATGTAATGTTAGCACGTGAATGCAGCTGGCATAAGCCGAGCTGATTTATTAAGCTATGGTCATATATGTCAGCACATTCTGCAGTAATAAAGGAGAGCTAAGAGACTGACATTGCTCACCTCCTGAAGAGGCTGGCTGCCTTGATGTCTCTGGGTTCAGTACTAAGCTGAAACAAGCAAACAGCAGGTGAAAAGTCAGAAATCCATCTTTTTTTCTAGGTCAGTACCTCAAAGGGTATTGAAGCCTTGGATCAGCATTAGAGCAAACATTATTAGGAGTGGACAGCTGCTGTAGCACTATATATTAGGAAGGCAGTCATTAAACAGGGGTAAAGCCTCCCATAATTTTCCAACAGTTTTTGTTACATTAAAGAAGAACTCTGGGCAGAAAGTTTTTTAACCCTTGCAGTGGGGCTCCCCCAGCACTGCAAATGTTAACTGCTTGTTCTTGCCTAGGGTCCCAAAAAAAAAAGGTTATACTCACCTGAACCTCAGTCGGCAGCGCTCCCTCCAGCCTGTCTCCTCTGCTGCAGAGATGGTATGTCTCTTGGCATTATTATGTCCTATACACTGTAGTTGACATGATTCAAGGATTCCTAGACTGCCGCAGATAAGGGTGAGAGACCCTCGAGGGACCGGTCAAAGAGTAAGCTGCCTCGGAGATTTAGGTGAGTATAACTTTTTTTTTTACCCCGGGGCAAAAATGAGCAGTTAACCCTTGCAGTGCAGGGGTAGCCTCACTGCAAGGCTTAATAACATTTCTGCCCAGAGTTCTTTAAGAATGTGTATATAGACCTGAGTTTGTATAGACCTGTGCTTTATATAAACCCGTGTTTTCACTAATTATTGCTGAGCTCTAATGACATGCATTTTAGGAGTATGTACAGTTGGGCAAAAAAGTATTTAGTCAGCCACCAATTGTGCAAGTTCTCCCACTTAAAAAGATGAAGTTTATATAAACCTGCTTTTTTTTAAATTTATTGTTCATATATTGCAGCTTACCGATCCTTAGATGTGGTGGCTGCATTTGGTTTATTTTTAGGCTTTGTTTCCTTTATTTTCACCTGGTGATCCTGCCAATGATACCCCTCCTGTCCTAGAGTGACAACCTTGTTCTACCATAGATACAGTAGGAGTAAGTGTGTCTACTTCAGGAAGTGTTAAGGTGCCCATACACTGCTCGATTCTCGTACGAGAATCGGGCGAAATCCCGCGATCGTACGAGAATCGAGCAGTGTGAACTAAGACGTGCGACAGTTTGTACTGTACGGTCGCACGTCTTTTGTCGAACCAACATGCTCGAAAACCCGCCGAGAATCGTACGATTGTCGGCGGGTTTCTAGCCTGCTCGTCCGATAGCTGCGGAACGGGCCGGTGTGCGCACGTGCACACTGCCCGTTCTGCATTGCGGTCATCGGAAGCCCGCCCCTCAGCGGGGCGGGCTTTCGATGATCGCAAGTACGATCCGCCCGTCCAAGGTGGGCAGATCGTAGAGCTTTCAATAAGCATACGACCATCGCAAGACAAAAGTCTTGCGATGGTTGTAAGGTGTATGGGCACCTTTAGGAATACAGAATGCCTCCCCTATCTCCCTATCACGGGGGAAGTGTTCTATAGGTTAATGAATGAGAACTGTGAAGAATGCTAACTGATAACACATGATTTCTGGAAGGATCAGCTGGTATGTTTGCACTTATTGAAGAGATATAACAATGCATTCAGTGGTGTACTGTAACAGATCAAAAGGAACTTCTGGGACTTCTAGCATCAGTGTTTGGTACACAAACTTGTTGTTTCCGTTTCTTTTTACATTTGTTTACCCCAATGTGTTTTTCTATCCTCTTTCTCGCTGTGTCTAGATATGACTCGTTCAAAGCAGATTGGGAATCACAAAAATGATAAAAAGAAAAATATTGCGAAGAGTTGGAAAACCAAGAGGAGAGTGAAGGATATAGATCAAATACATGTAGATATGCTCCCCGAGAATTCTGGGCGTTTGTTAAAGCAGGAAATTGACTATGATGTCCCTGGAAATGCTCAGCACTACTGTCTACATTGCGCGTAAGTCACTTTGGGTGTGAAAGGATCTCTGGTGTGTGTATGTGTGACATAATACACACCTAGTATTCAACTCTCACACTTTGTTTTCAATAATGAATCCAGATGAAACAAATACAAATTGCCCAGTAAAGTGCTTCTTTACATTTTTGACTAAACACTCACAGTCATGTTTCCAAACAGCTTCAACTCTCTCAGCTCCACTTCCCTGAACGACCTCTGTCCAGTACAAGATCATAAGGGACAGAGCAGTCTCCAGCAACTGTTCATGTACTAGCTTGGATAAGTTAGAAGTGAGGAAGAAAGAACATGGAGCAGGGGAGTGTCTTGCCTTGTCTTGTTTGTGGCGACACACACAGCTTACTAGCACACACAAGGTTGGCTCCATAGGACCCTGCAAGGGAGATGAGCCCCCCTAAAACAGAAAAACAGGATCAGTGCTCAGGGGACCTGCTAATTCTTCAGGAAACTAAAACTTTTAAACATCTAAGAGCAGCATCCATTGTAAGTAGGGCTGCAAGATTATTTTCCCAAGTCATCTTCCAGGGCAGCATCTGAGAGAGAGAGAGAATCCATCCAACCAAACAGTTAACACATCATCCACAATTAAAATAAAAGGGGCCGTACAGCCCCACCACCTCAGTTTTTTGTGTTTCCTCCGGCCTAACAGGAGCATCGTAACCGTTTGTTATTTTTTCTATAGGCCTGCGTGCTAGTTGCAGGGGCCTCCCAGTGTGTGCTCCCCCGTGAATCAGGGACAGTGGACCTGGGGGGTTGCATGCCTGGGCTTGTCCGAGGTGATCCTCCTTTTGGGTGTTGGTTGCTGAGGGTTGTGGTGCCTCTTAACACACATTTTGTATGTGTGATATGTCGTTCCACCAGTGATGTGGCTAGTTGGAGGCATGAGCTGCAGTGCAAACACCTTTTCAATCTGCAAGCAGCAACCCCCGACAATAGGCAACCTAATTACTCCTTCCTACACTGCTGGGGTTAGTGTTACACAGGAGTATTGGGGATTTTCCCCAATTTCACGCTTTTGGCAATCTCCTTTTTGTGTTGGAACATATATAAGGAGAGTTATCAGCCAAGGATGGTTTTTTGTACTTTCATCAGGCCTTTGGGTCATAGACAACAGCCTATCTGTGTAAGCAAGGCAAACCTAGGCCGGTAAATGTTTTACAGACTCCTTTTGCAAATAAACATTGGTGTGTTCATAAGCACTACTAGAGGCTTATTTCACACCAATTTTAGGTGCATATTCTGGTTGTTTCCAGATGGTTCATAAGGAGAGACTGAACATGATGGTCAAAACTTGATAGTGCTGCAGGCGTATTGTGCCTCGGCTAAAAAGTTTTTGTTGCTGTTAGCAACTCTGATTTACCACCTGGCTGTGCTGGGTGTGAGCTCACAAGCTGAAGGGCTATCATTGCTCTCACCTGAGCGGGGGCTGGGGAATGTTCCTTCACTTGCCTGTTAGAGCATGGAAGCCTAACGACACAAATCCCACAGAAGGGTAGATGCTGGATCACATTACTTTATCTTCAAGGCTTCACTTCCTTAGCAGATATGAACAGCCTCTAAAGCTTTTATTATACTTAACTCTCTCCTATATGGTTAAGTCTGCCTCTCTGTATAAGAGCCAGCATCTATCTTTTTCAGTGGTGAGGATTATTTTCTTCCAGTCTACAACTGCTCACAGGCTGAGCCGATCCATTCATTGTATCGGCCTAGGTGTGTCTGCCTCACAGGTTTGGGGCCTTTTTACTGATTACTCTGGTTGCAACCTTTTGGTTTTCTTGTACATCTCAGGGCCTGTTCACACGACGTCCGTTTTGTGTGCTGCTGCGCTCAAAATGTATCCCTATGTGTTTTATGGGCTCCAGTTTTCACGTGCGCAGTCCGTTCAGCTTACGACAGAAAAAATACTGCATCTCACAAACGCAACGGAAACGGAACGTTCAGCTTACGACAGAAAAAATACTGCATCTCACAAACGCAACGGAACGGGAACGCAATGCAGCTAAGGGGGGAAAAAAAGAAAAAATTGTATTCTTGCTCCACTTATTATGATGTCATCAACGTTGACAAAAAATTAACTGTCAGCATCCGGACCGAAAACGCATCAAAAACGCGTCAAAAACGCACTGCATCAGCAGCTCCACGTCTGCTGATCAGCACCTGATCAGGACCTGATCTCATGTGAACAGGCCCTCAAAGAGTGTACAGCACCTTCGAAGTCCATGATGAGGGCCTCTTTAGCTAAATTACTACAGCTTTATCTCACCTGGATAGAAGCTATATGTGTATAAGCATTTACAGGCTAAGTGAAAGGGCATGCAGCGTCCCTTGCCGTATGCTGACACAGCAATAAAAGGCTTTTCTCTGGTCTACATCTCTTGCACAGCTTGATGCATATATTGGTGGACAAGCACCTGTAAGCACTTGTATGACTATGCTGTCTGCAAGCTATCCCATTTACCTCTTTAAGGAGAGACTTGACTTTGTTTAATATGGTCATGAGCGTCAGTAGTGTGCATACCTTAT